CGGGACCTCCTAAATCTTCATCATTGGAGTATTCGCAATGCCATGGCTTTTAATGTCAAAAAGTGCAAAGTTATGAGATTAACAAAGAAAAGGCAACCTTTAGTCTCTAATTATTCCTTGGACAATTCTCTCTTGGAAGAAGTTAGAGAATTCAAAGACTTGGGAGTTACAACTACTGACAATTTTATCTGGAACTCGCACATTGATATTATTGTGTCGAAAGCAAACAAAATGTTAGGGCTAATTAAAAGGACTTGTAGAGGTCTGGATGATACTACGACTCTGAGAACTCTTTACTGCGCGTTAGTTCGATCGAATGTTGAATACTGCTCTGCTGTATGGTCACCCTACACCAAAAGGAACATAGAAAAAGTTGAAAAAGTACAAAGAAGAGCAACCAAGTTCATTTTAAAGACTGAGGACAATTATGAGACTCGTTTAAAGAAGCTAAATTTGATGTCACTAGAAAATAGGAGATTTCTAGCTGATGTTACTTTTTTATATAAAGCTCTCAATGGAATAAGTAACATCAATATCGATTCATACGTAGATTTTTATTCTAATGCGGATCATTATTCATTTAGGAAATACGATGATTTATCTCTTAAGAAGAAATATGCAAGAACAAATCCACTTAAATATAGTTTTTTTCACAGGATAGTTGACTCCTGGAATCTTTTGCCCTACGATACTCGTAAGGCAGCAAGTGTTGATGTTTTCAAGCGGGGAGTCAAGAAATGTTTACTGGATCGTGCATTAAATTAGTTATTATTGTTGAACTATTGATTTTATTTTGATTTTATACTTTACTTTGTAACTTATTTTAGTAGATATTCATTGGTGATCTGTTCTTTATGGGGTCCTGGACTCCTTTACAGATTATCCGTATGGCTATTTATATTAGTTTTGTTGTTATGTATTACTATTAATGCCATTAAATTGTAATAAATAAATAAATAAATAAATAAATTCTGTTGACAATTTTGAGTAGGGCATGATGGCAGGAGTGCTTCTCGCGAAATCCGTATTGTGATTTATATAGTAGGTCATTTTTTTAACAAAGGCAATAAGGCGATTATACATTACTTTTTCAAAGATGCGGTTGAATACTGAAAGCAAAGAGATGGGCCTTAATAATCTTAGAGATAACTGCTCCCCAATGGCTAGAGAATTGTCTAGTTGTGCCTGCAGGGAGCCTATTCGAGCCTGGACGCTTATTTGAGGAAATACGGTAACTGCACCGAGCTTATTTGATCGACATGTCAAAATGTTATTTTGAACTGCATAACGTGTTGATATTAGTATTGCAATGTAATGCGTTCCATTCTCGATCACGGACAGTAATCAAGTTATCTTTGTGCCTTTCACCCTATGGAAGATCGTTACAGCACATTCTTGTTACATAACGAAACAAGTAAAAGGTAGCGCAGAGACAAGACTATTGCTGTTGTTTTCTTTAATATTATCTATGGAATGTTATATTACTTAAAGGAGCAAATAGCTCCAATATTACTGTATTCTATAACAATTCGTAAGTTAAATTATGAAATAACTTCAATGTAATGATTACACTGCTAGCTCTAAGGACAGACGAGATGAAGCAAATCCTGTGTTCTGATTGGCCACCTGAGCTCTTGCCTACTTGAAACTACCAGCTCAATGTTCTTTTGAAACCTAAATTCTCTGGTATAATCTTTTGCCTATAATACAAATAGTTTGTCTGTTCTCGCTAGACAGTTATTGGCCTTGGTACTAAGTTAGTCCCATTAAAAAAAAAACAAAAACAAAAAAACAAAAACAAAAACAAAAAAACTTGGCTGGTATCCAGCAATCTTAACCCAACATTCTTGGTCAATGACCAATAATTCATAAACTGTACATACTTTAGAAGGGACACAGAGAGATTTTAAAGTTTTTTCCTGTTGATTGCTCAGATAATTATTCTAAGACATCTCAGTTTATTCAACAAAATACTTTTTAACTATTTCCAATTTAATTTACTTCACTTAATCCAGCTCCCGGTCATTTTAAGCAGCTTAGTTATTCCAGGGTGGTGGTACCCACTAATTATTATTATTATTATTATTTTTATTATTGTTATTTATTAATTACTAACTATTATGGATTGTTAAAAACTTGTTTTTTTGTTTTCATTTTGAACAGTCCCATCTTAAATAATTTCTGAAGATGCAAGTGAAAATAAATTTTTTCCATTCCTCTCACTCCTATTTTAGTGAAATGCTAAGCAAGTACTGTAAAATAGATACATGTGTCTGATGGAGGCCATTAAAATGACGTTTCCTTAAATTTGTTGTAGGAAAAAAGATACATAAATTTCATGAAGAGTGCATATTAATTAAATACCTGTTTGTATCTGATCTAATACAACTGTTTAAAAATCTTTTCTTAAATGATGTCTGTGAAGGTTTGGTAGGCATTCAAACACAAAACTATGTAATGTAGACTCTATCTTCTGATGTGTCTAGGATTCATAGACTTGGTGAACTTGATTAATGTCAGCTCTGCAGACTGGACATCTCTTGGAGTTCCTCTGTACCTCCCTGGCACAAGTTATGCACAATCCCAGATGGCCACATGGAATCAACACACTGTTTGGTTCCTCACCCATGCATATAATACACTCCTTTTTGCTTTCTGTAGAAGTAAACATAAAGAATTTTAAAAAAATGATTAAATTCCAGTTATTCAACCAGTCAAACCAAATCAAGTAAAAATCCAAATGTTGTAAGCTACAAAATTAACCCAAGTTATAACTATCCACTTCTCCCAGGTAAGTCTTGGGAATTGGATATATCTCAACACTATCACCCTGATGATAATTTAATTAATTCTCACCACATGCCTGTTTGTCAGCAATATAACAATGGCAAGGAGAAGATAATTACTAATCACTCTCGACAGTAATAGGTTGAACGTAGCCTGCATAACAATCTGACTAGAGCTATGAGAAACTTACTGAAGAGGAGGTAAATAGAAGTGGATATTTATATGGTGATGAGGTGACAAAGTAAATATCCACCACTATAACTGACATTGGGATGATTAACTATTCTAGTATATACCACGCAAATAAAAAGTATAGTTTGAAACTCTTGTTACATGATTTTATATCTTCAGCTGTGCTGAGATGGGTAAAAGTGAAGAACAGTTCCCAAAAGATATTGTCGGCTGACTGTAAGCCGACAGTTGGCCAACTGTTGGCTGTCTGTCAGTCAACAGTTGGAGGACAGATGGCTGAGAGTCAGCTGACTGTTGACTGACAGTTGATGACCTGTCTGTAACTTGTTGGTAACCTGTCAGTGGGTCATAAACTGAAATGATCGTATACATTTTCTCATCTATTGCATCTAAAGCTACATGAAAAAGGGGAAAAGTCGACTAAAAAAGATACCTTGCTTTTTACTTTCAATAGCCACAAAACTCGCCCAAATTGATTCGATTTCATTTATCGACCATATTGAGAAGTTGTTCTTGTTCCCAATCCCCTAGTTTTGCAATGCATTACTGGCAATTGATAAAATACTCAATGGCTTTGCTTATTTGTTACCACAAAATGGAGAAAATAAGCCTATTTTGTGTACAAACAAGGATATAAGAAATAGGTACTAAATTTACCATTACATTTTGGTACAGTTGGGAGATGGATTAAAAAAGCCTATTTTACCGTTTAGACAGAATCAAGTAGATAGCTACAAACGGTGCAATCAACTGATTTCTATTTACTGTTTTCAACTGGAAAATTTTTGAATTTGTTTTTGGTCAATTTTTGGTCTACTTAACACTTTCAGCTGACTGTTGATAATCTGTCGGCCAACAGTTGGCTGATGGGTTACAGACAGCCAAAAATGGGAACCACTGTTCACTATTACCCTGAGGTGAGTAGTACTTGCTAATCTCTTCCAAACTAGCCAATCAGTACAAGCAAACAACACTATTCCCCTCCGTGGTAAACACTACAGAAAACTATTCCCTACCAGCACATGCTAAGATTCCAACAACTGTTGTCAAGCATGCAGAAAGAGGATAGAGCACTTCCTGCATGCTTTAAAACCAATAAGAGCAGAGTCCACATTTCTCTATTTCTTACCTCATTTACCTGTGTATAATATGCACTTTATTTCTATAAAAATAACCATCAAAATTGCGGTGCGGATTATACACAGATTCCATTGTTTGTCATGTAAGTCCTAATTTGCATACGTTAAAAACAAAACAAAGAAAGTAACACATTTATAGCTTTAATTAAATAGCTTATTTTCAATGAAAAATGATAAGTGCATATTAATCTTTTACTCTAAAATCAAGAGGAAAGACAAAAATTGCTAAATATTTTCGCAAGTGTGCAAACAGGTATGTAGATCAGATTTCAGAGTGAATATGCAAAGTTGGCCGTGTGTGAAGAGATCTCATGTTACATGGAATTTTTCAGTGGGAAGCAAGCTTAAGATGAAAGTGAGCAAGAAATATTGCAGGACAAAAGCTTTATTTAAAGTAGTTCTTGATTTACTCTTAAAAGCAAAAATGTGCAAATTTCTTATGTGTACAAAGCCCATGCAGTCGAATTCATTATGGGTACATTGTTGTTTACTTGACTTTACGGCCAGAAAATTGAATAGCGTTAGGTTGAAAATTCTTAAAATACTACAATTTGACGCAAAATCTTCATTACTTTTCGGACATATTGTTGCTCACAGATAATATTTACCAGGTCATGGAATTGTCAAATTAGTTAGGCCTTGCTTTAAGTTCTAAAGTTTGGTTTCAATAGTGTCATAAATAACTAAGTAGCAAAAGATAATAGTGTTAATGATACAGTAAATTTCTTATTCTTGTTGTCTTAATAAATAATTATTAATTATTAATGCCTTAATAAATAATTGTAGGAAGATTTAACTTGTCCTTTTCTGCTGTGAAAAACTTTTTTCTGATAAATTTGGTTAAAAAGAAGGGTGCGCATTATACACGGGCATGTATTATACATGGGTAAATACAGTAATTAAAGTAAAGGTATCTTTATTGGGGTCCTATAGCAAACAACACTAGTGCACAGAGGATGTCTTCAGCCTCCAAGATACCAGTACATTTAGTTTGAGATGTAAGGTGAAATAAATAATTTATACAAACAGAAACTTCGATCACTGCATGAAAGTGTTACATTAACTGTATACCAGGCTTGAATTCTGAAATGTAGCCACACTACAAGGGACTAGAACAAGTTCAACACATCTAGATTTATGCATAACAAATGACCACTCAATTTCATCTCAAATGCTTAAATTAAAAACCCACCATCAGTTATGGAGCCTTGAGCAGGGGGATTCTGAGACATGGACCCCAAAGGCCTGGTGCCTTGCTGACTGTTACGCTGAGATTGTTGCAAAGTTGAACTACTAGGACCCCTTGAGATTGCATAAACTGGTGGACGCTGTGCAAAAATTTTACACAGTTCTTGAAGCAATGTATTAATATTACTTGATTTCTGAGAAAAAAAATTGATAAGAATGTTAGGATGTGTTGAAAATAAAGACCCAAAAACGAAGAATGAAGACCAAAGATCCACTGGTCTAAAACAAAGACCCTATGGTCTAAAATGATGACCCACTAGTCTAAAATGAAGAACAGAGACCCTGTGGTCTAAAATGAAGACCCACTGGGGCAACCCTAAAAGCTGAAAAGGTGGAATGGCAGATTGGCCGAAAATGACCCCAAATCCTAAAACACAGAACTACGAAAAATCACCCCATATCCTAAAACAAGAAATGGTGGAAAAATGCTGTGACTTTTTTTGCCGCAGCTAAAACTCATGGCAAATTTAGCATAACAAAAGTTAACTTAACAGGCAGGGCTCAAAGGTCATCTGTCATCGGCTCAATGTCCCCGGGAAAATTTGTCATTGATTATATATTGGGCAAGTGTAAAAACAAACAACAGTTATACAACTGTCGCAGCTTTGATAGGTAAAAAATGTCTTACACCAAACTTGAAAACTACATTTTAATCTCATCACACATTTGACTTTTTACAAAACAGGCTCTTTATTTTGTTTCAGCTGATTGCATGAGCATGTTTACATTTCAAAGGCTAACGCTTATGGCTGTTTGATGACTGCATTACACAATTTGACACATATTGTGTGTGCTCAGATGAAATGTGCTCAGATGACATTTCAATTTATGAGCTACAGAAATGGGAGCAACTTAGCTTAGTGTATATGTTTTCAGACAACAGGGTCTTCATTTTAGACCAGTAGTGGGTAACCCTAAAAGCCAGAATGACGGAACGGTGGAAAATGACCCCAAATTCTAAAACACAGAATGGTAGAAAATTACCGCAAATCCTAAAACACAGAATGGCTGAAAATAACCCCAAATTCTAAAACATGGAACAGCGGAAAATGACCCCAAATTCTAACACATGGAACAGACATCTGGGCATTTTGCATGAATTTTATACAAAAACACTCACAATGATAATGGGGCGACCCCAAAAGCCAAAATGGTGGAACAGCGGAATGGCAGAAAATGACACCAAATCCTAAAACACAGAACAGCAGAAAATGACCCCAAATTCTAAAAAACATGGAACGGATATCAGAGCATGTTGCATGAATTTTGTACAAAGACACTCAAGCCCTCGTCTCATTCATCCCCACAGCAATAACATGCTTGACTAAAATTAAGTGTTATTCATTTTTTTTCTGTTACGGAGTGGTATGAATAACAATGAATTAAGGCTGACAGTTTCTAAAGAAACTGTCCAGGGCTGCGTTGGTGGGGGTAACGAAATAATGTGGTCACTGTATGGTATACGGAGAAATGAAAGAGAAAGTTCATAAGCGCAGAACGAAGGTAACTACCTACAGGCAGACGAGAAACACTGATTTTGAACAGCTCAACCACGAACTTCTAGAAGCAGTGGCATGTGGGTGAAATATTCACTGATGTAGATGATAAGTACGAGTATTGGACCGCTCTCTTTGAGTGCACAGTGAACGCACATGCCCCTATCAAAAGAAAAAGTGTACGTGAAAAGGATGTACCCTACATGACCTCAACTTGGAAAAAGGCGATAAGAAACAAGAGGAAACACGCCATACTGTTTGCGAAGAACCAAAGGCCAGAGAACATGGAACTTAAAAGAAAGTACAGGAATATTGCCATACACGAACGGAGGAAGGCTATCATGGAATACTGGTTCGCCAAATCAGAGGAGCTGAAATCCAAGCCAAGGGAGTTTTACAATGCCTTTAGGCCATTTATTAATAGCAAAACTAAGGAGTCCACCTTAATCAGTTTAAAAACAGAAGAGGGCATCATTGTAAAAGATCAATGCGAGGTAGCTGAGCAATTAGTGAACTATTTCACCACAGCTGCTGTTAGCATTGTAGGAGACAATGCTATTTGCATCACAGAAGAGAACGATGACAACCATGGCAGCGTTAAAGCTCTAAAAGAAGCATACCTGGGAACGCACTTCGAGTTCAATCAAGTCAGCAAGGATCAAGTGCAAAAGGCGCTTGAAAATATCAACCCCAATAAGTCCTGTGGGTGGGACCCCAGAGCACCTCCTAAACTCCTTAAGAATGTGGCCTGTGGAATTTCCCCATCGCTAATGACTCTCTACAACAGCTGTATCGAGCTGGGGGCGATGGCCTTATGCATGGAAAATGGGAGAGTGGATGCCAGAGTTTAAAAAATGTGACAGACAACTGGCGAAGAACTATCGTCCCATCACGTCCCTTCTTACCGTAAATAAGACATTTGAGCATATGCTCAGTAACCAAATCACCAGGTACTATGATCCAACTCTCTATCAGAGAGTGACAGCGTATAGAAGACATCATAGCTGTCAGACCACTCTACTTAGACTCGTGGAAGACTGGAAATCAGCTGTTGACAGAAAGGAACTGGTGTACATACTGTCTACTGACTTGAGTAAAGCCTTTGACTCTCTTAGCCATTCTCAAATCGTAAAGACACTCGAGGCCTATGGCATTGGACGAAATCCTCTCGACCTTCTCAGATCATACTTTAACAATAGGCTCAATAGAGTGAAAACAAAAGAGTGACAAGTGACTGGAAAAGGATGGTGCTTGGCTGCCAGCAAGGCTCGTCCTTTGGCCCCCTTCTGTGGAATTTGTTCCAAAATGATGTCATTCCATATAAATAATGCTAATTGGAGCATGTATGCCGACGACCATCAGATGTATGTCATGGGGAAGAAGCATGACGTTGTCGCGCAAAGTATCAAGATACATGGAGAGAAAGCTCTATCCTGGTACAAGAACAACTATCTCTCAATCAACCCAGAAAAGTTCCAGCTATTAACGATCAACCCAAGAAATGTTGACAAAGACAACGATAATCAAAATTTTTCTGTTGATGGTCATACTATTAAGAAAATGGGGGAAATAAGGCTTTTAGGAGTTCAAATCGATGATAAATTGAGTTTTACTAGTCATATCAGTGACCTATGCTCCAAGGCCAGTCAAAAAGTAGGGGTCCTAGTGCGGCTATGCAATTTGATACCCTGTAATGCTAAACTATCACTTTACAGGTCTTCAATTCTGCCCCATCTAACCTACTGTCATCTAGTATGGCACTTTTGTAATACATCTGATCGGAGAAAGCTTGAGCAGATTCAGGAGTGAGCACTTAGGGCGGTGTACAGAACTAGATCAGCGTCCTATCAAGAACTGCTAAGTCGCGGCAAACTACTGACGTTGAACAATGTGCTCCTACAAGACATTGCCACTTTGATGTTTAAAGTTAAGCACAGTCTCGTACCCGAGAATATTTCTGACTTATTTAATATAAAGAACCTTCAGTATAATTTACGGAACAGTGACTTCAAACTGCCAAAATTCGAAACTGTAAGATTTGGTAGGAATTCTATTAAATATATGGGACCTCTCATCTGGTCGAAGTTACCAAGACACCTAAGAACAATAGAAACTCTAAATTCATTCAAGAAGAACATAAGATAAGTTGAGCTTTCAACTCTCGTTGAAATTTAAAACTTAACTAAATAACTTTATAATCTTTTTAATTATCTACTGTAAATAAATATTATCTACATATGTAAATGTATTGACTTTTAAATTTTCTAGTGTCCCCCATTAGCTTATAGTTAAAAACATAGACACTAAAATAAAGTTTTTCATTCTTTCATTCATCAACAAAGTTGGACTGGTAAATTGGCCACCGTAACGATTACAAAAGCTGACATTTCGAGCGTTAGCCCTTCGTCGGAGCGAATAGAGGATAATTTGGATATATCAACAAAGTTGAAACGGTAAATTGGCCATCGTAACAATTACAAAAGCTGATGTATATTCATTTTCTTAGCTTCATTTTCTTATATTCATTTTCATATAGCTTCTTATATTCATTTTCATATTCATATTCTTATATTCATTTTCATAGCTTCATTTTCTGCCTTTAAAGGCACACACAACCCACAATTCCTCTATTTGCTCCGACGAAGGGCTAACGCTTGAAATGTCAGTTTTTGTAATCATTACAGTGGCCAATTTACCATTTCTACTTTATTGATATATCCAAATTATCCTCTATTCGCTCCGACAAAGGGCTATATTTCATTATACATGAAAGATAGCTGCATTTTCGCGTTGTAAACCTGTTTAGTTACCTTTTGTTATGCTAAATTTGCCATGAGTTTTAGTTGTGGCATAAAAAGTTGCACAGCATTTTTCCCCTGAATCCTGTTTTAGGATATGGGGTCATTTTCCACAGTTCTGTGTTTTAGGATTTGGGGTCATTTTTTGCAGTTCCATGTTTTAGGATTTGGGGTCACTTTCCATCAATCTGCCACTCCGCCACTCCACCACTTCGGCTTTTAGGGTTGCCCCAGTGGGTCTTCATTTTAGACCACAGGGTCTTTGTTCTTCATTTTAGACTAGTGGGTCTTTGTTTTAGACCACAGGGTCTCTGTTTTAGACCACAGGGTCTCTGTTTTAAACCAGTGGGTCTTTGTTTTAGACCACAGGGTCTTTGTTTTAGACTAGTGGGTCTTCTTTTTGGACCACAGGGTCTCTGTTTAAGACAACAGGGTCTTTGTTTTAGACCAGTGGGTCTTCGGTCTTTGTTTTGGGTCTTTGTTTTCGACACATCCAAGAATGTTATGCAAAACTGGAAGTTACTTAATAAAACTTGGACAACTGCGGACAAATTTGAGCTATCAAGGGTGAAACCATTATGACCATCATTGATGATTCAGTGTTCACCTGTGATAATGTGTCTTCAGCCTTTCAGTGATCATAGATTTCAAAAGAGATCACTCAAAAAGCTTAGTCGACCAGATATTGTCCCAATGTGACATTAGTTTTTATTTAAATTCACTGTTCTCATGTCACTCTGTACAACATCTTGACATCAAAATTTATCTTCATTTCCAAGGTCTCTCTCCTATTGCCTTAGGAGTGAAGGTGGTGGGGTTTTGAGAGAGGAGGGGAAGGAAGGGAGAAGACAAGAGTAGAGAGAGAGACCCTGGTTTTACCATGGAATAATTTTTTGTTCTGGTGGCTTCCATTAGTATAAATCCAGTTTGTGAAAGAGTGACTTAGCTGTTTTCCTTTACTTTTTAACTATTGAATATAATTTCAAGTACATATATACGTTCCAAGAATATTTATTACTTGCTCCAAATTTGGTGAATGGTACCAGAATATTTAATGCCTCAAAAGGCCTTTATATTGTGCCACTATTCTTCTTGTTTTCAAGTAGTGTAACTTTTTACATACATAATTCCACTTATGAAGGTAGGGATGATCAACTTTGCCATTCCGGTCAACATAAGGTGAAGCTTTGATTACCATTGACCTTGTTGGTCTGACATACACCAGAGGCACAACTTCAGGATGACCCTCTTGTAACAGAACACACACTGGAATATTGTACGTCACATCTGCAATGTAACTTTAACATCAGCCTGCTATATAATGTTATAGTTCACCACTAAATTTTCTCCGGTTCTTATTGGTTTAAATCGATCACGAGATGCGATAGTGTTTATCTGTGGAGAGACACTATCAGCCCATAGTGCACGCCCGCAGAAAATACCCGGATGGATAGTGCCCGTCCATGGAAAATACCTGGATTGATAGTACTTGTCCATGAAAAGTTTTGAATAGTTTGACGGCCGCGAAGTTAGGCAGATCGGAGAAACAGTGACTTTTCAATTCTGACAGGTATAACGTATTATTTACCCAATGGACGGTTGTGAATTATTGACATTTGTGACAAGCTGTAGGCGTGGAAGAAAATTTGGTGGTGAACAATAAAAAACAATAGAGTGTTTATGTCTCGGAACTATTGGTCTGATAGTTGCCCCTTGGAAATTTGATGCTCTTAAAACTAGCATATTTGTTTTAAGAACATCAAATTTCCACGGGGCAACTATCAGCCGATAGTTCCTTGACAGAAACATTGTTTTTGTCACAAAGGATTCGCCTTTTTACAAATTGACAGTTAGGTTTGGTTTTGGAGCTTCAACAGTTCTATACTCATCATGACTGTTAAAATTGGAAAAGATGTGTTGGAAAGTATAACGGCAGATGCACAGAGATTCTGAAGAAGAGTAACTATGATAAGAGGTATAAATAATACAATAGTAAATTGATAGTCAGTTGATTAGGTATGTTGATTTCTTAATGAGTGATCAATTTGGCAAAGATTAGTGGGTAAATACAGTACTGACATTGTTCACAACTGATAGCTTGGTCTCTTATTAAATTAAGATAAAGAAGCCAAAGGAACCAAACCTTAGGTAAGATAATGGCTAATTTACAGATAAGATTGTTTACCTCTAAATTTGATGGGGATTGTCCCCTCCAAGGCAAATAACTCTGCTTGTCTTCCATGTTCATAAGCTTTTAAAAGCAATAAATACAAGTTGCAGATTGTTAAATTATGTAACAAAAAGGACAATTGTCAAATCATTAAAACATAGACAGGCAGTGTAATTCCTGCAACAAATCTGGGAGCAAGATCTAACTTTGTGGATCAATTGAGCATATGCAGGCTACTCTCCATGGCAGCCATTGTGCTTACAGTGCAACATGCTTACAGTGAGAAGTAGGCTTGCATGGAGATATCTTTAAGAATGCTTAGCTATAATATCATACCCAAAAATAGGGCAGGAGTCCTGAAAGGTCTGTGTGGTTAATTTTTGCATTACTTCTTAGTAGATAGTTGGCAGGAAATGGTTTGGACCCTGGGGCAACATGTGAAAAAGTAGTCTGATCATCCAAAGGAGTGTATTCTACTAACAACTCCACTTCTGTCATCACAACCGACAACAGTCCTTCTCAGGACCACATTAACCTGGCCAATCAGACTACACTAACAGATAGTTAGAAATGGGAAAAACACAAAGAAAGCAGAAAAAAGGGGAAAAAACCAATGGAAATTCTTTGAAGCACAAGTCTTTGTCAATCTCAGTAAGATTTTTGATTTAAAACAAACTATAACTCACACATCCTCATGACCAGACTATTATTATAAAAATAGTCTGTTGAGTAGATTTGTAGATCTTGGATGTGAAATTTGTAAACTTACTATATTCTTGCATTCCTGGTCTGAGACCATGAAAATACTTCAATACCTGCTCAACATCTTGAATGCAAGAATTTGCTTTTTTCTGTAGATGAAAAAAAATGGTCTTCAATGTCAATAACTAATTGAACCTAACTGACAGCAGGGTTTAGAATTGAGTACTTTTTAAGAAAAGAATCAAATCCCCCTAGTTCAACATGGTTACCTTCTTTTCTTTCACAGTTGTGAACTACATTCCCAGCCAAAAATTTGATGACTAAAAAGAGGCAGAGATTTAACCGACCCTACACTCAGGGAAAGAATCCCATGCCTTATGACTGTATTTCTTCCCATTAACTCCCCTGGCTGGTTCTACATTGACCCTACAAGGAGGCAGAACTCATTTTATGACAGCTTGACCATTGTACCATTAGGATAGCTTACTTAACACTTAATTTAAAAAAATGTTGAGACCTAAAAAGCATGATCCATGAATGATGAGACCCAATGGCTTCATGGGAAGTCTTTTGAAAGTCACAAAATCAGTGCCATCAGGGTTGGAGATTACCACTCACTCGCTTGCCCAGGCGATTCTCTTAGGTGAATAAAGGCTGATAGTTTCTAAAGAAACTGTTTGGGGCTGCATCAGTGGGGGTAATGAAATAAATTGGATATATATTCAACAAAGTTGAAATGGTAAATTGGCCACTGTAATGATTACAAAAGCTGACGTTTCGAGCATTATAGCCCTTTGTCAGAGCGAATAGAGGAATTGTGGGTTGTGTGTGCTTTTAAAGGCAGAAAATGGAGCTATGTTATTGGTGGGAACATGGCAACCAGAAAAACATGAATAAATTAGTGGAATGAAAAGCGTTCGTTGATACCTGTGGGATTTAGACTGCCAGTTTGAAAGATGAGCTTTTGTTCAAGAGTTTTACAGCTTTCCGTGCTGCCTAAGTGTAAGGAAAGACCACAGATTGCCATATGTTGCTTAGAGTGATTAGGTAAATTAAA